ATTATTCAGTCAAATAATTGAGGTTCTCTCAGACAACCTCTCTGGAATGTTTGCTTATGTATATTACCAGTGGTAGATATCCCAGATCCCCAAAGAAGAAACCAGGGAGTGGTGTAGAAGGGTGGCCATGTGGAGATGAACTAGATTCAGTTTTCTATTTTTTAAGTTTTATTTTTACTTACATGGCCGGGGCACTGGCTCATGCCTGTAATCCTAGCACTTTGAGAAACCAAGGCAGGAGGATCGCTTGAGCCCAGGAGTTTCAGAGAAGCCTGGGCAATATAGTGAGGCCCTGTCTCTCAAAAAAAATTTTTTAGGCCAGGTGCAGTGGCCCATGCCTGTAATCCCAGCACTTTGGGAGGCGGAGGCGGGTGGATCACGAGGTCAGGAGATCGAGACCATCCTGGCCAGCATGGTGAAACCCCATTTCTACTAAAAACACAAAAATTAGCTGGGTGTGGTGGTACAGATCTGTAATCCCAGCTACGTGGGAGGCTGAGACAAGAGAATCCCTTGAACCCAGGAGGGGGAGGTTCAGCCTGGTGACAGAGCGAGACTCGGTCCCCCCACCAAAAAAATTTTTTAAATAAATAAATTTTATATTTACTTAGATGGAGACAGAGTCTCCGTATATTGCCCAGGCTGGTCTTGAACTCCTGATCTCATGTGATCTTCCCACCTGGGCTCTCCAAAGTGTTGGGATTACAGGTGTGAGCCATTGAGCCCAACCAGTTTTCTTTCAAAAACAAACAAACAAACAAAAAACCAGAGCTGAGCAGGGCAAGAAAGCTGTGCCCTTCTGAGGAGCAGAGTTTAGGGTCTAATTCCTGCTGCGTTAGCCTCCGATTATACCAGTGGGGAGGGCCAATAACATCAAACGGGCCCAGGGCTGCGGAACTGGAGAGCCTTGGCTATTTACACTGACCTGGAAAATGTCAGGATAAATGACAGAAGGCGGGGGTTGCTGACTGCACTCCTTCTAGAAGTCTCAAGGCTTTGAGGCTATTGAGTTGTGTTGTGATTTTTTCCCCCTCACCGTTGACTTGTCACCAAGTCACTGAGGAAGGATGGCCTATAAAATGGGGCGAGGGCTGGGGGAAGGAAGGGCCTTAAGTGAGACAGGCACTCCCGACACAGGTCACAGTTTAAAAGACGATGGTTCAGACCGTTATGCGAAATGATCTCAGAGCGGCTGTTCACCTTCCCCAAAGCTGCATTAAGAAAAATTAGGATGGGTGACATCCCCTTTAGAAGACTGCCCCCCCAGGCTGAGGCTAGCCCTCTTATCGGCTGGCCAGGTCGAGGAGGGGGTGTGCGCAGGACCGCCCTCCAAGCCTGACCGCAGCCGGGGCCGGCGGGCACCAAGGCGGCCCCGCGCCAGGCTTGGCCTCCACGCCCGCTGGGTGCGCGCTCACGGTAGAAGCGCGCGCCCCCGGGCCTCGCGAGCGCGCTCCCCCACCCCTCGCTGTCGCACGCGCCGAACCTCGGCGTCCCTGCCCGCCCTGCGCTCCCACAGCCTGAGCGCCGCTCAGCTGACCCGCGGGCGCCAGACGCGGCGGCTCTCATCTCGCAAGCGCAGCTGCGGCGGCGCGGGCCTCTCAGGCCGACACTCCCCCGGCGCCCCTCCCCCACCCGGTCGGGCTCTGGACCCGCCGCGCGCGAGCCCGCGGCCGCTTCCCCCGCTGGGAGCGAGGAGGCAGGCTGCGGCGGTGAGCGGCAGCTGCGCAGCCATGGGCGCGCCAGTGTCGCCCTAGGGCGGGAGCAGAGACCTCAGCCGGAGCGGTGGCGGCAGCCTCCACAGAAAGCCTTTTCGGGCGGCGGCGGCGGCCACTGCAGCAGCGCGGCCGAGATGAGCGGGAGCGGCGCGACGCCCGGCCAGGGCTCGGGCTCCGGCTCCTCCCCGGCCGCCTGCCGCTTCGCGCACTACTTCGTGCTGTGCGGGATCGACGCGGACAGCGGGCTGGAGCCTGACGAGCTGGCGGGTAAGGCCAGGGCTGCGGCGGCGCAGGGTCCCCTCCAGGGCGCGGGATCCAGACAAAGTCAGCTCCTGGCGGCGCCCCCCGTCGCTCTCTGGCCGAACGGGCGCTCGGGCGCGATTTAATGACATTGTTATTTATTCCACATGCGGGCTGTGCGGCTGCGCCCACCAGGGGCTTTCGCCTCCGGGCGCTGGGTTATTAATAACGGGCGCGGGGGTGGCCCCAAAGGCACGGCCCCCGCCTGGGGCGCCGGCCCCTTATCCCGTAGCCGCACGCGGAGGCGGCCTGTGACTCACCGGGCGTGCGGGCTGTCCCCCGGCCGCGGCGCCTGTCTCCTACCCGCCTGCCTTCCCGCCCCGGCCGGGAAGTTTCGGCCCCGCACGTGACGCCGCGCTCGGGCCTCTTCGGGGGAGAGGGAGTCGGACCCGGCTCGGCTCCAGCCGCTGGTAGCATCCGCGGAGGCGCCGGTGGCAGTGCGAGCGAGCGCGGGGCTGGTTGGGGCCGGTAGGACTTCATCCTGGACTCTTTCCTCTGCGCCGCCTCCGGCTCTGCGATGCCGGCCAAGTCACCTTTTGGAATCCTGTGGATTTGGTCGCGTCTGGGGAGCTGGCGGGGACCTTTGGACGCTCGGGACATATCACTGCGCTGTGTTGACACTGCCTACACTGTTCCCGAGTTTAAACTCAGTTGGGTGCACCGTGTGTTAGTATCTGGTTTTCCTGGAGGGGCACGGGTCCCTTCTCTTGACTCGTTTGATGGCGCAGTGCTGGGCTATGCTGGGGAAACGACGCCAGGAAAAGGGGCAGTTAAAGGGCGATGCGGGGGGCGCGGGGCGGGGGGCGGGGGGCGGCGGAGTGCGCAGTGTCGGGAGCAGGCCGGGGAGAAACCGCTGATTTCATTTTTCACGCCTGTTCCTTTCTGCTTGCCTCCGCGGGATCTGAATCTTGATTTGTTGTTGTCTTTAAATGGGTGAGACAGGTGACATCTACTGCCTGAACTTTGTGTCCGTGCAAAAGACTTAGGTCATAGCCTTTCAGAACAACTTCCTTTGGACCAATGATTCCTTATTGATTGCACCAACGTGAATTTTTCACTTTCCCTTTGGTGGGGGTGGGGGGAGCTGGGAAGAATACATTAAATAATAAACAATAGTAAACAAAACTGTTAAGCCTTAAAATAACAGTCCCCACCAACCCACGTCTTAGCTTTTTCTTAGCTTCACAGTAAAACATTCTTTTTTTTTTTTTTTCATATTCTTTGGAGGTAGAAATACAAAACATTTTCAACAAAAATTGTAAGTCTAGTTTTGGTTAAAATTTTGTAGAGAATAGGGTACCAGGTTTTTCTGTATGTGTAATTATGTAATCATATTGTTTCTTCAACTAAGATTTCATGTACGTGTTAAGAATGGCTTTGTTAAAGGATACAAAGAAAAAGTCTGCAGAAATATTTGGAGAGATTCCTCTCTTGAGATTGGTGAAGGGTTATTCTTATTTTTTAGACTCCTTTATTCCCTAAACATCCTGAACATTTGTGGTGCCAGGGTCACTTGGAGGCCTTCTGTCAGTGATGACTGATGAAAGGAAAAAAGCCTGTATTTTTTTCTTCTCCATTTGCCTACTGAAGCTAAAACAGTACCTTTTAGGTGTGACCTAGGACTCTTTAGGGACAATGCAAATTATGTTAACAAAAGCAAAAATTAGATATTAATGCATTTTAAGAAGCAAACTATGATGTCTCCTTTTGCAAAACTGTGTGAATGTGGGTAATTGGGATTTCTGCTTCTCATAATATTTAATGTATTCAAGTAATAATGTATTTTCCCTGGTAGTATTTCAGTATCATTCATCCAGCAAATAGTTTTGAAAGCGTCTATCTGTAGTCTGTTTTTTAGGCACTGGGGACAGCTGTGAAGAAAGCAGTCAGAAATCCCTGCCATCATGGAGCATACGTTCTAGTGTAAACAGATAATGAAAATACAATTATCCCTCCCCCCCCACTCCCCCCCCCCCCGTACCCATGGGGGATGGATTTTAGAGTGTAGCACCAAATCCTCGGATGCTCCAGTCTCATAATAAAATGGTGTTGTATTTATATATAACGTATGAACATTTTCCTGTATACTTTGCCATCTCTAGATTACTTATAATACCTATTACATTGTAATGTTATGTAAATAGTTGTTATACTGTCTTCTTTAGGAAATAATGACAAGAAAAAAGTCTGCACATGTTCAGTACGGATACAACCATTGTAGGCCTAACTACATTTGCAATCTGTGCTTGGTTGAATCTGTGGATGCAGATTCCACGTAGAGTGCCCACTGTATATAGTTTTCCAGATGTTAATGAGTGCTCTGAGGAAAAATAAAGTGGGGGAGTAGATTCAGGGACATGCCAGCAGAGTGGTGGGATGGTGGGGTTGTGATTTTAAATAAGATGGTTAGGAAAGGTCTCACAGGGAGGGTGGCATTTGAACAGAGCCTCGAAGGAGGTGAGGAAGTAGGCCAAATGGATCACCTAGGGGCACAGCATTGCAGGCTGTGACAGCAGGTGACAAAACACATTCGTTTTTTCCACCCCTGAAGAAATAGCAGGTGCAAACACCCTGAGTGGGACAGTCCCTAGTTTGTGCTGGTAACAGCAAGGAGTCCAGTATGGCTGGAGCTGAGGGAGAGGGAGAGTAGTAGGTAAGATCAAAGAGAAAGAGCAGGGGAGATTATATAGGGCCTCATGCAGTAGTTAGACTTTTAACTCTGAGATGGGAAAGCACTGGAAGGTTTTGGGCAGAGTAATGACCAGATCTGATGTACCTTCTAAAAGCTATTGTGGCTGCCATGTTGGGTAGACTATAAAAGGGGAGGAGTAGAGACAAGAGACAAGTTAGGGAACTCTTTTAGTATTTGAGGTGAGAGGCTGGGTGTGGTGGCTTACACTTGTAATCCTAGCACTTTGGAAGGCTGAGGCAGGTGGATCACTTGAGGTCAGGAGTCCAAGACCAGCCTGGCCAATATGGTGAAATCTCACCTCTACTAAAAATACAAAAATTAGCCAGGTGTGGTGGCACACGCCACCACAGTTACTTGAAGGCTGAAGCAGGAGAGTCGCTTGAACCCAGGAGGTAGAGGTTGCAGTAAGCTGAGATCACCCCACTGCACTCCAGCCTGGGTAATAGAGGGAGACCGTCTGAAAAAAAAGTATTTAAGGTAAGAGATGCTGTTGGCTTGGTGAAGTATCAGAAAGGACTCATTCTAGATAGATGATGAAGGTAGAGCCAACAATATTTGCTGATAACTTGTATGGATATTTAGGAATTCTATGAATATGATTCAAAGAAAGTGATCAAAGATGACTCCAAGGTTTTTGGACTGAACAACTGTAAGCTTCTCTCCTGAAATAGGAAGACTGATGGAAAGTCAGACTGGGGTTCAGTTCAGATTAGGCCATACTAAGTTTGATGTGTCCATTAGACATTCAGATGGAGATGTCACATAGACAAGACATCTCTCAGGAAGATCTGCACTGTAGGTGTAAATTTAAAGCCATGAAATTGGATGAAGTCACTTAAGGGTTGAGTGTAGATAGAAAAGAGAGGAGGACACTCAATGATTGAGCACTGGGGCCATTCTAGCATACATAGGTGGGGAGGATGAGTAGGAGACAGCCTGGGAGATTGAGGAGTATGGTTAGTGACATGGCAGGAAAACAGGAGAATATAGTATCATGTTCTCTGCTAAGAATTTTCTTGACTATTTCTGTAGAGAAACATTTGTGGATCATGAAACTGTTAGGCAAATTAGCCAGAAGGTAGTTTCTGTTTTGCGGCATTAATTTCAAAGTTAATGATAGTTAAGTTTCTATTTTGCTTTGTTGGAGCTGATCTGTCTTTATCACAGTTTCTTAGCAAGTTGTCACCCTGCCTGTAGAAGGTCTTAATTGACTTTTATTAAACATACATTCTACTAGTTGCTTCAGACTTTCTTAACATACGCATGTTCCTAGAATTCACACTCTGCAGGTGGTAGGACATTGAAATCAAAGACAGTAACAGTTAAGTAGACTAAGACTTTATAATAAAAGTTATCAAGGCTTCAAATGGTTTTTAGACATTCCTAGTAAAACCCAGCTTAAACAGCAATGGAAAAGACTTTTTTCACCTCAAATATTTAGATCCCTTAACAGCTGAAACTAATCTAAATATATACATTAAAATATATTTTAAAATGGAGGACTTAGAAACTGTATGGTGATGTCCACCTGTATATTCTGATATATTTACCTGTTGTCCTTTCTGTACCACATCTTAGTTGTTGTGCTTCTCCTACTCACTGTATATGTTTAAGATGCACTTTGTCCATAAGCAAAACATCCTTTAAGTGTTGAAGGAGTATTGTTTAAATTTCCTTTGAACATTAAAGATAAGGAACTGGTTTCAGAGCGGGATTCTTTATTGCATGTAGAAGAAAGGAGGTATAAATGGAGGTAAATAATGCAATTAGTTGACATCAGGGAAGGCAGACATCATTTTGAAATCTTATTTATTTTATTTTTTTTGAGACGGAGTCTCGTTCTGTTGCCCAGGCTGGAATGCAGTGGTACAATCTTGGCTCACTGCAACCTCTCCCTCCTGGGTTCAAGCAATTCTGCCTCAGCCTCCCAAGTAGCTGGGACTACATGTGCATACTGCCACGCTTGGCTGATTTTTCGTATTTTAGTAGAGATTGGGTTTCACCATGTTGCCCATGCTCGTCGCAAACCCATGAGCTCAGGCAGTCTGTCTGCCTCGGCCTCCCAAACTGTTGGGATTTACAGGCATGAGCCACTGTGCCTGGCCTGAAATCTCATTTTATAGCTCTTATTTCCTTTAAGACCTGGCTGTAGGAATACACATGGCTTAAATTTACAGCAGTGAATCTTTTAAGCAATGGCAAAATGAAGGACATGATGAGGGCTTTATTAAGTAACATAAATATACAAACCCTCCAAGAGAGAAGGGACTTTGCC